AAATTCATTGCAGGGGTATAGTGCAAAGAAATTTCCAAGGGTAAGTCAGTACAGACACTACCCAGCAATATATGCAAACAGGAGCACAGGTATTGGAATCAATGGTTCAGATCATTGATTCCCCAATTACTAGCTTTAATTATTTGTTACTTAACTTCTATAAACCGTAGTTTTCACATTTGTAAAATTGAGGTAGTGATAATATTCATATCACAAGTAGCCCTGAGATTCAAATGAGATTATTTACATGAAAGATATTTGAAAAGCTGGATATATATGGGCACTATTTTGGGGTACCTAGAATTTCCTCTTTGACTTATTCTTCCAAAACAGAGTCAAATCTCAGACAGAGAAGCCACTGAAGTTGGAGTAATTATTTCTATTTTTTTTCAAGTTGACTTTACCAACCAAGAAAATGAACTCTTTGAAAAGATAAAATAGAAAAGAGTTTTTCATATTTTTAGATTATTTGTCATTCATAACATTTTCTCTGTTTTGTCACTTGACAGGTGCCAGAGTAGAGCTCTCTAAAATTACCTTGTAGGTTTTATGGAAATTCTCTATCCTATTCCCAATCTCTGTGGGATACATAAGTGAAAGATTGAGAAGTATTTTATATTTGTTTATCTTTTAAATATGAAGATGTTCAAGTCTCTGATTTCAATTATCAAAAATCAAAATAAACAATTTGATCTCTAATTCTGAGGTGTTTCTAGTCTATTTGAAGAGACAATATATACATAGTTTATTTAAAATTGTTAATATAATAAAACTGTTTACAACTGTTTATATTAATCTGGTATGTATTAAAAGAATCTTGGTTCAACCTGGGGCTTTATGTTATTTCTAAGCACATATCACAATATATTCTGACAAACTCTGTGTACTTTTTCTTTAGCTGTTTTTTTTTTTTTTTCTTAATAATATTAGAGGCTTTTCTCGATGTGACATCTGTCAGGTCAGTATAGTAGTGAATAATGAAATACTAGCCTGGCTGAAAACGCTCTTAAAATGTCAGTCCATTCTAGTTCCTAAGACACCTAAGAACACCTGACACAGGATGTGGGCAGTCAGCAGCCAGGTTTCTACAGAACAATTAAGTTCAGGAAGGAGGGAGATGCGTGATGCTAGAGTGGTACCTAATGGTGTGGAGTTGCAGCAAAAGATACACCTTTGCATTGGGAGTGCACCATATTCTTGGTTAGCAGCACCCATTTATCACATGCAACGTGATTAGAGAAATAATAGTTACTACTCAGGGAGTATTCACTTTGCACCAGATCTATACTAGTTGCTTTTATACCTGCTATCAAAATTAATCCTTGCTACCAACTGATAAGTGGACATTATTTACTTCCTCTCTTACCACTGAAGCCCCAAAAATATAAATAACTTGACAAGGATTATACTTCCAGTATGTAACATAGAATTTAAGCCAAGTTCTACTCAGTTCTAAAAATCTTTTTTACAGCAGTATCTTCAAAGTGGCATAGATACACTACTGCAGGTTCACAAAGACTTTCTAAGGGGTAGCTCATCCTTCCAAGTATACTTTTCCAAATGAATCTTATTGAGAAGACTCCTGAAGATTCTCCTTCACCCACACTCCTTTCAAAATCTCCCTTCTCCGATGTTTCAGAAGAGCCTATCTTCCACCTATTCTGAATTCATTTGCAATACAATCTGCTCCCAGAATGGGAAAAACTTCCAGAGTGTTTGACAAGTGGGAAATCCAAAATATTTGTGCTAGTATTGCCAACATGTATAACTTTAATTACCAGGCAACAAACTTCTAAAGAGTTGAGTAGTTTATAAATAAATTCATCATTTGTGAAATTGCTTTTATCAAATAAGTTTTGCTTGAGTTGTCAGTTGATGGATCAAATTGTAAAAACTAATTTTTTGCTGGATTGTATCATTATTAGCTTATTTAGCTCAAATGAGTTCCAAAAAGTAAGTAAAATTTGTATAAAAAATTTCTTTACCCTTATCTACTTATTTATAAGAACAAAGTTTCCTGGCAGTTATTTATTTTTTAAAATTTAGAATATAATTGATATACCTATTTTTGTTACAGAGAATTTTGGTAGGCTGCTTATTATTTTCTCTTTTTAAAATTTATAAATAAAAGTTGTATATATTTATGGTGCATCACATGATGTTTTGATGTATGTATACATTGGGAAATG